CAGCCACAGATATAGCTTCATTACAATTTTAGACTACGTTAATTATCAAACTACAATTACGAAACTTAGCCCATTTTGTGTGACCGCAGGGGTGGACCGGCTAAATCTATCGTTTTAATGTTATACGCTATTAACAACAAGTGCAGAAGAAAAAATGTTTCTTAGGACTATAATACGTATAAACAATTGTGATCATGTGTAAATAATTTTAGATGCGCCAGGAATTCATACACAAGGCAAAATGACCTTAAAAACTATTCGCATGGGGTTTTTCGAGGACTTTACTCGCCGCTCGCCTAAATCTATATTCCATCCTCGAATATGTCGGCAATAGCTAAAGTGGAAACTTGCTATTTCATTTTAGCTTTAGAGGAATTGTGTGGTCCACTAATCTTTGAAGGGTTGATTGTTGTCGTTCAATTCCGTCAATTTATATTTTTGTAAACGTCGGTACCGGGAAATAAATTACCTATACCTACTTATACGATTGCGCTATACCTATAATTCGATTTTGATTCTCTTTTCGAAATCTGGTCTTTAGCAAGGTAAATAAAAGACAATGCAATTTTGAAAAGAAAGATACAGTGGAAATTAGGTTATATTTAAGATGAGTGAATAACTTTTATATTACATTAGCGTGTTTCCTTCTGAGGATTCGATAAACCCAATTTTTACAGCTTGCCGCTAGTCTTTTATTAACTTGTGATGTACATTGAAATTTTGTTCTTAATAATCACTAAACCGTGCGAAAATCAGTGAAAAGCGTTAAAAAATTTTCGCTAATTTAACTTTATTTTTGAAACTTACAATTGTTGCCACACAATTACGCGGGGTGTTTTTTATATTTCCAGATTTCCTTTATTTAGAGTATCCCAATAGAATCTGGTAAAGGCAAATTCAGGCAAATTTAAGTATCTGCAATATTTTATAGATAGAAATGAAAACGTTAGTAGAATGCAATTTAAATCGGATTCTCTCTATATCCCTTTATATCTTATACTGATCGGACATGTCATTTCCAAATTTTGCAGAGGGTGGTATAAAATATTTTATCCCATTCCACGTCTTGGTGTACCGATTGGTATTAGGTATGTATGATACATAAAAGTGGAATCCTTTTAATTAGGATTTATATGGCGAACAAACCCCTTTGAAAAACAGTTGCGTCGTTAGAGAGGGAAAATGTCGACTTTGAAATTACCAAAAATTAGCCAGATTCTCTCAATAAAGGCCGCACCACATGAAAGGATACCACTAACTTATGACATTAATTTCAAATTACATTTCTGCTTTGTTCTGATAAAATTCGTGCCGATAATGAACCAAAGTCAAAGACGCTCTCGGGCCATTTTCTTGTTGTTTCTTTTTGTTTGCTTCTCTTGTGTACTCACATAATCTTATGATTTCGAAACTTGATAATTGGAAAACAGTCCAAGGAACTACTTTAGACTGTTTTGCTGTTTTGGACCTTGACATTTATAGAAAGCTCCCAAAGCGACAGTTCCCAACCACAACCGACACCGACTTCAAAAAAAGTACCTCTAATTTTCATTCATGGTACAGTTAATCATACCGGGAAATTGGCTCTGATATTAAGAAATTATGAAGGGTGCGTTTACCACAATATTTTCAACTAACTACTGTCACTACAGAAGATGATTACAGAATTTTTACTAAACACTACCAAACCCATAAAGTTTCGTATCACACGTATCAAATCCCAAATGAAAAACCTATTAAAAATGTACCGCTATCTTTCACAGAAAACGAACTAAACATCCCCGACAGAAACATCGCCTAACCGAAGACTTAATACATATTTAGAGTGCTATCTTTTAAAAATGTCCCATCAAATAAAGGTGAGTCTCTTGTAATATGATATACCGGGTGGTGCCTAGCGCGACGCAGCATAGGGATTTCAATGGTAATTTCTTTATAGTCAATTACTAGCTCTCCAAATTATTTTAGAGCAAAAGTCTAAATACGTTTTTTTAGAGAAAAAAATACTGCATCTGTTCATACTATTAATTATAACTTTCCGTTTTTCAAAACCGTAGAAATCGAAAAAATAAAAAGGTTCATTTTACAATAAATCAGATATGCCTTGGAATTACTTAAAAAACAGCGATCACGTTTAATTATTTGCCTTTGACGTTTATTAAATTTAATAATTTATACTTGTTTACAAATTAGTTAAATAACTGCAAGTGCAATAACGTTCTAAATGTCTGTCAAAACCATCAGGAAAACGACAATACAATCAACGTTTTGGCTACAGTAGCGGAACATCCGAATAGGTATAAGTTTAAGAACAATTCTTCCTCAAATCAATTTCTTTTTCTTCGATTATGTACTCTGGTTCCGGAAAATGATAAACAAATAGTATCCGATGCAGATGCAGTATTACATTCTCTAAAAAAATATTACCCCATAGACGCTTTTTCTTGCGTCGCCGTCGGTTATTTGAAACAGAATTAAATATGAAAATCGTTCGACGTCAAACAACGATAACTTAGATGCGATGCGCTTCTAATTTTTGAAAGATTCCAAAGCAACACTGATTTATAAAAATGTAATTTTTTATTTTGTCGATTTCTACGGTTTTGAAAAACGGAAAATTATAAGTAATAGTATGAATAGATGCAGTATTTTTTTCTCTAAAAAAACGTATTTAGACTTTTGCTGTAAAATAATTAGGGGAGCTAGTATGGTGACTATAAAGAAATTACCATTGAAATCCCTATGCTGCGTTGCGCTAGGCACCACCCTGTATAATATTTCATTTTCATATTTTTGCTGCTGTATTATGAGTTTAGTTCTAGAAAATAATGTGCTTTTAAACGACATAGGTTTAAAAATTAAAAAAATAAGCCCTATTGACGCAATGTGCTAATAATTTGTGTAGGAGTATCCATCAGATTAAAGGGTTCATTGAAAACATTGTTTTAAGGGGTTAGTATTGCATATATTTTTCTCTTGAAAGTAATATTCCGAGGTTTTTTGGAAGAAGCTAGGGAAGAAGTTTTAAAAATACTGATTTTGCATAAATTACATGTAAATTTTGCATTTTGGTATACACAGTCTCTATGTCTTTAACTTTTGCTGAATGATACCTTTAGGGTGGCAAAGGAACTTACCGCACACGAAATTTGTTGCCCCGCTTATTTAGAAAGTATTCGAGATATTACCACTTTCTGACTGGTCTTGCGTTTTTGTGTTGTATTGCTTCTTCAGTTTTTCGCCCGAATCATTTGATATTCATTATTTATATCCCTTGAAGCTATATATTCGGTTTTCTTCTTTCACTTTCACTTGCACCTTTTCTTGTTTCTTAGACCGATTCTAGGGATCTCCTTGGGGCTTCTTACTGCTACGTATTTTTTTCAGTGTAGTTCTTTGTTTCAAGTTAGCCTTTCTACTGTTCCTCTGTGTTTAGCGTAAACATGTTAATCATGGCCCGGATTGCGATTTTAAGAACATGTTGTGGTTTTGTGTTAAATTTGCGACTTTTTCAAGTACAACCTCCAAGACTGAGACACACACCGCCAAAGCTTTCCATTTACGTCGGAGACGCCCGCTTGAAACGAACGATCCGGCCCAATATTTTGATTTCAAACCGCCAATGCAACAGACCGTGTGGTCTGGACACCGTCCATATCGATATTTGACACGACAACTAAATATAGTTATTTATTTATATTTGAATGCCAGCAACTTCTACAAAATCAATATGCGTAGCTAAATAATGAATACGTGAATTGGACGTTTATTTTTCCGAATTTATCAATACATTATCGCTGCATTTTCACTTGCATATTCTAGTTGTATTCACTAACTCTGCTGTACAAAATCGCATCGTAGATGGTGAGGCTGTCATGATGGCAGAAATATTTATCGCAATTACTAGAAATAGCAGAAAACATTCAAGGAACTAAATCGCCAGCAGTGGGTATTCATCACCTGAGGTGGAATCAGTTGACAAAAGAAATGGCGGAATGTTTCGATGGTGGAATCATCTTACTCCGTATTCCTTGTCGATACATTGCGGTTCCAAAACATACGCAAGCCAAGGAACTGTAACGATGTTTCAAATGAACTTTGCAGTTCGTTAGTTGAAAGTTTTAAGCATCGGAAACTGATCTTGCTGCTAGCTAATCGTTGGTTCGAAATTGAATGTATATTTACAAAAATCATAATTCCTCCATTTTTAGCCATCAAGACTGCTACTACGACTAAGATATGAAGATCAATTCGAAGAGAATACGTAACCCTAAAGGCATTATTAAAATTTAGCCAACGCATTGGCTGACTAGAAGACCCTGTATGCAATGTGGTGTATAGAGTTCGGTGTCATCAGAATGTATAAAAAATCAGATAGAGAAATGGAAAGATAAAGCAAAGGACAAGAAGATAAAGCTTTGACGACACATAAAAAATATCTATATATGTACCAAATATGCTTTTTCCTTCGTTTCTTTAAACCGGCGAGACAAATTACCGCTTCCGTAATGCGAATTTGCAGCTACCCTACCTTACGATTATGAAGATAAAACGAATAGTTAGAATCTAGTTTCTAATATACAGGGTGTAGCACTTAAGATCTCTCGGATCATAATGCCTTTACCATAAAATGTAAAAATAAAAAAATGTAGGAGAAAAATTGTGCACGATTACCGTCACCATTTTTCTGCTGTACTCCAGTGGCATATCAAACTTTTTTTAAAAAATAGACCACTGCATATTTTATTGCATATTTGGAAAATAGGGACTTATCTTTTTATATTAACGATTAACGATTTCGCATAACCTTCTTCCCTGAAAATTTGACCGTTTCTGAATCATTTTTCAGGCATCGCGCTGGCACTTTCATTTTAGGTTATAAATTAAAAGGCATGTGACACGTACATAAATTTCATAAAACTTAAGACAACTTAAACGGTTACATCTACAATACTAAAAAAGATTTAAAATAAAGGACATTTTTTACATTTATGGCTACGTAATGATTGATAAAGGTGGAAATATTGGCAAAACTATTTGACCAACCACTCCTCTTCCAGGAAATTCAATTGTATCCAAGCCATTTCGACTCGGCGAAGGTATGCACTTATTTTGTGCATACAAAATATATTTATCATTGCTGCATTTCCAATACCATGGCAGCAAATGGTCATAAGCTGGTACTAAAAAAAATAACTAATGAGGCACGATTAATCGTAGATAATGTGTTTTTACCAAGTTGAGTCTTTTAACGTTGCAATTCGTCATAAAACACATGAAAGAGTCCTGAAAAAGAGGAAACTATCGCATTTAGGTATACACCTGTAACTGCTTACCAAGAGCGCTTGAGTTTCGTCCTCGACACGAAGCAGGACGAACCATATACCTACGTACATGGTAAACAGCTTGTAAGCCGTCACTGAGAGTAATATTTTTAAAAATCCAACTTCGTACGGTAAGCTCGAAATGGTGCGAAGCATCCAGTATTCGTTTAGGACAACCATTATCACATATATGAAATGTTCAGGCTATGATCAAATTTTAAATTGCTACTATGAGTGTAACAGTGGCTCCACCAAGATCACCGTACATTTCCATTTTTTTTATATTGTGAATTTGTGAGTGCTAGTTTTTGACTTACAGGGATTTCGAATTCTGTCAGCCGAAAAAAAAAACGTATCAAACTCTAGAGCAGGCGTGGGCAACCTACGGCCCGCGGGCCAGATCCGGCCCGCCGATAAGTTTTGTCCGGCCCGCTAACATAATTCAGAGTTAATACTTCATAGGGCCCACAAGTTACATTTTAATTAATTAATTAATATGATTATGTTACAAGTGCAGCATCTAGTGGACGCGATCCGAAGCTTCCAAGGCGTTTAAAAGCCTAGTTAAAGATGCATTTCTGGTTTCAGAAATATCGCCAGGTATTTTCCAGAATTTTCCTCGCGATATATACGGGGTGGGGCAATACAAGGACAGGTGTTTTGGGATTAAACAACATTTTTAAGCCATATATTGCAACAAATCTTAAAGAGCATAAATGAAAATTTGGATACAAGCTGAATATGGGGATTTATTATCCACGTCTGGTAAATTTTGTATGCAAAATCGTGTCAATTTTCAAGAGTGCTTATTGTTTTTTTAAAATGATTTTTACGAAAGCAAAAAATAGATATAGACCAAAAAGAAATAGATAAATATTGATTTCTGTAAACATACTTTTTATTTGGATTTTCAAGTGTGGCCCGTGGCGCATATGAAAAATTTTATTTTGGCCCCTTGGAAAAAAAGGTTGCCCACGCCTGCTCTAGAGGATAAGCTATTCGTTTCCAACAATTTAGTAGTAATCATAAGTAGTACAGTGTGGTCCATTAAGTATGTAACAAATGGAAATTTTTATAATATTAAAATGTCTTCAAGTAATCACGTCAAACAGTGTACAGGCAGGCCAAAAAATATAAAATTCGAGGGATCAAATTACTCGCGAAATTTAAAAGCAGAAATAGAGACCGCGCACTTTCCCAAAAAAAATACGCAAATCAAAACAGAATTGTAGGTCATGTTTTCCTGGTTTAACACAAATCAGTGGACGTATGACAAATTTGTTACTGTTTTATTTGTCAAAATAATGCTGGTGCGTCTTCTCTTAATGTCAATATTAAAACACTATCTGACACACATTCCAGGTGTAGCTATCCTAAATAAATAAATTAAAAAAAATTTCTGAATGTAGGATGATTTCGAAGAAGGTTTTCGGGGATCGTTTATTCCATGAAGAATTGTCGTAATGTTTCTAAGATTCTTGAAACGCGGTTTCTAGAAAATGCCTCGGAAAATGCGCAGTAAAACTACTAAGAAAGGAAGAAAATTCGAAATTTCCTAATAAGGTTTCAAATTTTACCTGAATACTTTCAATAAAATGCCCATTGAGTATAATGTGCTAAAAATACCAATACTGTTCGTATTATTTTATAAAATGATGCAAATGGAAAAAAACTCAAATTGATACTAGGAAGCAAATTGAGTTTTTAAAAAGATACGCGCGATGAGAGGATGTCTCATTTCTGGAGCGGTGGTAATTTCGAATACGAACGGCAGCGTAACGGTTATGGGCGATTTTGAAAAATGGTTACAGTACGAACTTAGGACCGTACGTTCGTGAAAATTTTATTTTTAGTTTAAATGAGAGCAAAAGAACCTCAACCATTCCATAGAAGAGTAACGAAATTCTCCTCTGACGTAATGTCAATAAATAATGAATTATGATTCTTTTCCTTCTCATTGTCTAAATAAAGACGTTACTATTCTTAAATAAATTAAACATCCCTTGGAGACAAATATCTAAAGCAGATTGATTTCATCATGATTGAAGAGAGATACAGAAATGTGTTAAAAAAATACGTGTGGAGTGCCAGGTGCAGATATTAATTAGTGACCATGTGCTTTTGTTGGCAGAGTTGGAAATAAAATTGAAAAGGATTAATGTCGTCTCGTCTGGTAAAATTAAGGGAGATGGATAAAGAATATATATGGAAGGACACTGGGAATTGAAATGAAAAAATAGGAGGGGTCATGGAAGAGCCTGAAGAATGCGATAATGAAAGTGACTGAGAAGGAGGTGGGGTATAGGAGAGGAAAAAGAGCAAAGGCCATAGATAACATTTGAAATGATCGAAAAGATGGAAGAAAGGAGGAAGTACACGCGGCAAAGTACGGCAGACGAAAGAAAGAAATACCAACAACTGAATAATGAATTATAAGAAGAGAAACTAAAAGGGCGAGGGAACAATGGGTGCTAAATAAATGCAAGGAGATAGAAGAGCTCCAGGATCCAGAGAAAGGCAATCTACCTGGATTTATGAAGGAGGGATGTCACCTAGGACTCTGTCAAAACTAGCAGACAACTCAACAAAACACTAGGCCACTAGGGCATCTCATCAAAATAAGGAAATGTGGGCCGTTGGTCGTTTCTGCCACCACAATACGTTTTTTACATTGTTACACCCCTGTATAATAATAAAAATTATTAATTTACTCAATTTAGGATTGTTGCATTACGAATTACGAGATTGCCAGCATTCCAATTTTAAATATCCCGATGTCCCTACACTTTCCTAATATGTCACCCATATTTTACATTAAGGAATTGGGGGCCCCAATTTTACGCAAAACATACAAAAAATAAACAACAACCCTTAAGAATTTGATATGCTTTTTTCCAGTTGCGCAAAGAAAATAGCACTCAGTTTAGCACGTAATATTCAAAAACGGAAGTGGTAGGCTAACTTGGCCAAGTTGAAAAAAATGTTAAAGAATGTTACCTCATGGTAAACCACCAAACAGGCAAATATAAAGGAAAAAATTGTGCCGAGGAATGAAAATATGTATTGGACACATACGTAAAAGTCACTGAAATGTCATTAGTAGATTTAGGAAAATTAATGAAAACGCTTACACTCTGTCCAGTAAGTTGTTTAGATGCTTCCTCCCCTCAACAACTTCAAAATACCGAGCGTTGAACATGTTTTCATCGAATTCTACAACCATATTGACAACTTGGCTTACAAACTGAAAACCATTTACCACCAGTTACAGGCAATCAAAATAAATAGAATGAGCATTTTATTTTGCGTATCAAATATGATTTCCTTACCTCTATCTCTTTTCTTAAAAAAACAAACACTAACCGACGAGAGAAATTATCACTTAGATAATGCCAATTTGCAGGGGCACTATATTTTAATCAATTAGCAGATCAATTTACTGGCTACCTTCGACTACCGACAAACTGTATATTTCAAATTTTAAACAATAAAATATGATGTGTGTAAAATTTTATAATTACGGTTCTGACCGGCACCTTGCGATTGTGTACGTAGAAAGAATCTAATGAGTAAGTGTTTACAGTCAATAATCGTAATTCGAGTGCGAAAACGATTACTTCGCATTGTACTGACGTAGAGCATGAAAAATTTAAGAGGTAATCAAAAGGCGTCTACTCATCTTGCAGTGATAAACAAATGTTGGTATATATTATTTTTTGCAACTCACGTTGTCCAGTCTCATATAAATTAACAGATAAACGGAATACTTCCTGTAGTAACGAAAAAAATCAAACGTACTTCGTTACGATCGAAAAATGCATATTCCAGGTGTTCTGCAATAATTTGCCAAAAAATGCAACCGTCATACAATCAACCAAACATTTCTCTCCTTTACGATCTACTTCAGATGTACAGTCTCTGGCAGAATTAATAGATCTCATTCACTTCAACTGTACCAAGGAAAATAAATACACACGAGCCATGTTTCACTGAAAATTTTGAAAATAGGTTCAAATACCCGTTTTGCTGCTGGCATATATTTATAAACTAAAGCTGTGGATGGTTTGTTGCGCGGTGAGATACGGGTGGAGGAGGTGATTGCAGCTTTAAGAAGTGAACTCTATTTAGGGTACATATCAAATTGTAAAAATAGCCGTAATCATACCTTATACAAACAATTAAGCACAGAAACAAATTTTGTGAAATTAGAATTGGACTCTAATATCATCACATGGTTGTTAAAGGCTAGGGGCGAATTACTCTTTTTAAATAAATATTGTTACAATAACACAAACAAACTATGTAACTTATGTAATAGAAAGGAAGAAGAAGATGTATATCATTTTATTGCAGTGTGTCCAATTTTAGCAGAATTTAGATCTTCATTTTTCAATAAAACTTTGCTAAGTTATTATGAATTTAAAGATTACCTGAATGGTAAAGATCCAGTTAATCTCATGCTGTATTGCAGAGCAGCATGGAAGTATAGATTTCAGTTAGTTTCATTATATTAAATACTTAAATTGTTTGCTTAGGTTAGTTATAATTTTTTTCTTTTCTTTTGCTGCTATATATAGCAAAAGGGGGCTTATTTTATTTTATAGTATTTATATTTTTATTTAAGAAGCAACTCCTCAGACGGTCTACGAACCATGAGAATATGTCTTTTGCCAAACAATGTTTTAAGTTTGTATTTATTATGATGTATAGCAAAATAAAGATAACTATTATTATTATTATTAAACTAAAGCTGCAACTTTTACATCGAAAACCATTAATTTCGTCAGAGACCGTACATTGCTATTTCACGAAAGACTAAATAAATAAATTCCTTCCCTCACTCAAAGGTACGATTTTAAAGCAAATTTGCTTTTTACTACTATACAATAATGTATAATTAGGAATGGTGTCGTCTGTGAAATACGTCCAAAAAATTTAAAGGTAGGACTAAACGAGACATACATAGGGTGGCTTATTTGCCATGCCTCAGAATCTCGGAATTCTATAGTTACATTGTCGATTAAATACCATAATATAAAGTTTGACACGGTCGATCATGGTTCAGGTCCCCTGCTATCTATTCTTGGGTGTGACTTGGATTTTTCGGCAGTAAAACTTATCAAAGGTGATAGGTTCAATATTTTAAAGAATGTAAATGATAAAGAAGGTTTTTGCCTAGAAATCCGTGGCGAAAAAATAATATCTAAGTCTAAGTTTTCGAATTCTAGACAGCCCCTCCCATAGTTCTAAACCTTTCCGCAATGCAGTTCTATGATAACACTTATAATAAATTAAGTGGGTTTTTTTATATTCCAAAAAATATTTGAGACCATTTCTTGGCAAAATTTTTAATTGCTGACTAGATAGCCCCTTCAAAGTACCTCGAGATTCGAAAAAAAATACTCCAATAACGTTTTGAGTGTAAACTAATTAATAATTAAAGTATAAAGCCTTGTAACGGATTGGAGATTTGATTAGTTGTGGTCGTTCTGAAACTTTCCGTAGTGACAAACCTGGATTGCTTTCTCTACTGAAATTTTGCATGAGGCGTATTAGTTTTAAACAATGTCAGCAAATTTAGAGGTTCGATTCTTCTGAGTGGTATGGTCCCCCACTTGCTGGGAACAGATTGTACAATTTCAGTTGTAAGGGCAAACGGTAAAATCATATTTTTACTTGGCATTTGGCATCAGTCTACTTCATCATAAATATTACTTGTTCCTTTTGGGGCTAATAAGTTTCTATTTTTTTAGCATAACTGAAAATCTGTTTTATCAGATTTATATACCCTATCTGATTGTTACAAAGTCTTTTTCTGTCAAATAGTTTTGTATATGTCCGAAACAATTGCTGTCAGTTTCACACAACTTGTTACCGTGACCGAGTCTGTCTGTCTCAGTGTAGGGTGGCAGTTTAAAAAGCTTTTGTCACCTGGACAAGTGTTTCAAATGGGCCGAGGGTGATCACTACAAAAAATTTGAATCTTTTGACTGTAAAGTCCATCATTGCATCAATCTAAGCACCACCGAACAAGAAATTGTTCCCCATTTATTAATACTGGATTTTGACATAGTATATCGTAATATAGCTTTATTTAAATTTCCTTAATTGTGTTTTGATACGAACCTAACAGCGGCTCCGATCAAAATACCGTCCATTGACACTCAAAAACTGCAGTTATTGACACGGTGACGAATGCAAATCACAGATATAAGACAATGTAACCTAGTTTAATGGTGTGGACTCCATATCCAAAAGAAATAAGACACAAACCGTGCACTTACTTCTACATATGAGGTTTTCGCAGTATAATTTAAGACAGTAGTTTGATATTTATATCCAGGATTGTAGATGTGAATGAACATGTTCATTACTTAACAAAATTACTATCACTTTTTAATAAACATGCTCCCGTAAAGTCGTGCTCCATGGTTAACTAATAACTGATGTAAGAATGTTATTAAACTTATGCGAAAACTTAGAGATACTGCCTTTAATCAATTTAAATTATCATATAAAAAATTACGAACTCACCGCTGCAATTACAGAGGACAAAAATTAGCTTTTATCGAATTTGCAAGTCATAATGTAAACGGTAAATATATTATGTGGAAGGCTTTGGGACAAACCCGAATTATTCATGATAAATACAAGTTAAATCATTACTTCACTGATGCCGTTTAAATGTGATAAAAAGAAAATAATTTGTTCCTACTTTTGATCTTGCATTGGTATCGCGAGACGATCTTGATCATATTTTGAATAAGGCGGAGGGGATAGATAAATTGTGGTTAAATATGATTAGTTATTGTAAACCACATATTATTGGACCACTTACTAATATTGTTAATAATTTTGTGCTACAGGCAATTTATCCAGATGCCTAAAGTAAGCACTATAAATGTCTTTTCGGATTTGCGGCCTGTTTTAACTCTCCTCATTTTATCCAGACTTGTAGAGAAGATTGTTCATGAACAAATTCATGGTTTCACAAAATGCGCCAAAATTATTTCCGACAATCAAGCCGGATTTAGAGCGGGTTACAGTACATCAAGTACATTAGCTAAGGTTGCTAATGATATATTTAGTGCTATGGATAATAGAAAATCTACTGCTCTTGTTTTAATTGGTTATTCGAAAGCATTCGATACAATTAATCACGAGTGATTATTTTGTAAGTTAAAATAGATCATCATTACACTTTTATTAAATTAAGTATACAATACGTTATGATATAAATTATCTAAATCCAGTGTTGGAGTTCCACAGTGATCGATTTTGGGGCCATTATTATTTTTGATCTACACGGCAGATTTTAATGATGCCTTATCAACAGTGCGGATTCAAATTTTTTGCGCCCCTAGGCACACCGAAAGATATGCGCCCCTCAAAAAATAATCTTTAAATTGCAATGAATTTTTTTTTTTAATTTATTATTGTGTCTCGACAGCAAGGCCATTGACACGTATATAGCGAGTACAGGTAAGTACAGGGATTTACATTAGATGCACTTGTACAAGTTTGTTGATTTCAGAAAGTTTATTACATCGTAGAGCTGGTTGCTTAAGATGTTCTGGAGTGATTCACTGAGGTGGTGGTCCAGTCGAGAGGTACTGTAACGGCGACATTCTAACAGGACATGGCTTATTGTTAATCTGGTGTTGCAGTGTTCGCAGACTGGAGGATTTTCGGATGCCATTAGGTAACCATGCGAGAGGTGAGAGTGGCCTATTCTCAGTCTTCTTATATGACGATTTTGTCTCTTCTTGACATTGGTGGTATTTTGGTAGGAGTTACGTTGACTTGGATTTGGTGCAGTTTCGTGTTTAGCCTATTCCAGTGCTACTGCCATGTTTTTAGGCTGTCTCGTCTGATGAGAGATTTTAGATCGTACGCCAACTGCAATTTTTCGATGGGTATGTCAGATGATCGAGCTTGTTTTGCGGCTTTGTCTGCATTTTCGTTACCATTTATGCCGGTATGTGACGGAAGCCAGATTATAGTGACCGCAGTTCCATTGGACGTCAGTCGATGGCATACCTCGTGAATATCTTGGACAATTGGGTTTTGTGTGTAGATGTTCTTTATGGATTGGAGAGATGAGAGTGAGTCGGTACATATGCTTACGGATTTGTTGGTGTGTGTTAAGGTTTGTAGTGCTTTTAGAAGATGCTAATAAAAATCACATTATAAATTGAAATTTTTAAAACTAATAGGAAAAGAAATACAATATACCTAGGATTTAAGTTTTCAAACACTTCAAAACTTGAATTGTCGATCGTTCTTACAGTTACAGTTTGTTTAAACTATCTACCAATTCCAATTTATTTCATAATTTTAATTAAAAATTTTTGTCATTTGTAACTTGTTAGGGTACTAAAACTTAAGTAAAATATTACTAAAATAAATATAGTGCAAAAAATGCCGCCCTCTAAAGCTGCCGCCCCTAGGCACGTGCTTAGTGTGCCTATATGTAAATCCGCCATTGCTTATCGAACTGCGCTAGCGCTTTCTATGCAAATGAAAAACT